ATGACGTGGGAAAATACCCGAACAAAGCTGAAGGCCATATATATATATATAGGACCTTGGACACAGATCTTTTCTGCTTTGTGAAACATCATTCCCCTTGAGATGAGGCTATCCGCATCCTTGGTAATCTTCTGAATATTGCTCAAAACATGACTGTATCAACAGGCTTGAGGATCTCAGGGAAATGATGAATCAATGCGATGGCTATATTGTCTGTTATACCTGAAGATGTTGTTTTATTGTCTTTTAATAATACTGCTTTTTAAAAAAAATATGGAATATTTTTAATGTTTCTTTTTACTGGTTTCTTTTTAATATATGCTGCCCAGAATGGGATGGACAGCCACAAAAATATGATTGATTGATTGATTAATTAATTAATTAATTAATGATAAATATAACCCCATTTGATAAGCACTTCAGAACATAACCTGGTTTAGATTGAAAAGTTGTTTCTTTAAAAAAATTGCTGATTTTTTTTTTCTTTTAATAATGTGCACATTTTCACTTACTGAATAAAAATTATATATTAGCCTAAAAAATTAATACGAAGACAGTATTGATGTTCCCTACTTTTTGTTTGTTTTTTTCAGGTCCAAGTACATTGGATAATATTGTAGAAGATGTTACACATCCCTGTAACCCAAATCCCTGTGCTGCAAATCAGTTGTGTGAAGTAAACAGAAAGGGATGTCAGCCTCTTGAACCTTGTCTTCCCTATTTTTGTATTCAGGGTAAGCCTTTTTAAAGGCTAAATAAATGCCATAGGATTCCTAATAACTTAACACTTGCCTTTCTTTGAAAATATTCTTTCTTCAAGGACACTGCAATTACAAAATATAATTTCACTTTACACTAAAACTGGAAGGGGAGGGTGATGAATCTGTAGAAACTTTAGAATCTAATCCCAAGCAGAAACCCCAAGATAAACAATCAAACAAGGAGATAGGGAGTGCTGAGAAGTAAGAAGAACTCAAATATAAAATAGGAGATGAAGTAAATGCAGCTTCAGCATAAACAGCTTGGATCAGGGCTATCTTAACATAGGCCTGACGGGCACTTGACCTTGGGCCCCACAAACATAGGGACCCCATACTTATCTATGTATGTTAACCCTTCAATGCACCTTGTATCATATAAATACAGCAACATATTTATTATAATTTACTGCATTTTAAAATTAATACTAACATGCAAATATGTGTTTAATTTTATCAACCATTTACATTTTTATTCCTGTGAGTAGTTGTCATAGGGGCACCAGTACACTGCGTGGGGCTCATAATAGCAATAGCACTTAGACTTATATGCCACTTTATAGTGCTTTACTGCCCTCTATGCGGTTTACAGAGTCAGCATATTTCCCCCAACAAAATAATAATAATAACAACAACAACAATAATCATAATCATAATAATAGCTGACCAAAAGCTTACTTGGAATTGGCTAAAATCAGGAATACTGAAAAAAGAAACTGAAGGCTTTATTTTTGCTGCTCAAGAACAAGCCTTAGCCACAAATTGCATGAAGGCAAAGATTCAGCATGTCACCACCAACAGCAAATGCTGCTTCTATAATGAGAAAGATGAAACAGTTGACCATATAATCAGTGGATGCAACAAACTTTTACAAACCGACTACTTGGAACACCATAACCGAGTTGCTAAAATCATTCACTGGAAACTATGCCAAAAGGTTGGATTTGAGTATAGTAACAACTACTGGAAACATCAGGTTGAGAAGGTTCTGGAAAATGAAAAAGTCAAGATCTTGTGGGACTTCAGAATTCAGACAGATAGGCATTTGGCCCACAGCACGCCTGACGTAACAATAGTTGAGAAGAAAAGGGTTTGGTTCATTGACATTGCAATACCTGGTGATGCACTAATTGTAGACATGCAACAAGGAAAAAAATCACAAAGTATCATGACTTACAAATTGAAGTTGAGCGACTTTGGAAAAAGAAATCGTATGTTATCCCAATTGTAATTGGAGCCCTTGGAGCAATACCTAAAAGGCTACCTCGCTATTTGGAAATCCTGAATTTATCAGACTTGAATGTCCTGATTCTACAAAAAACCACCTTACTTGGAACAGCTTATATCCTCCGACGCTACCTGAACAGTTCCTAGGTCCTTGGGTAGGACTTGAGCTGTTGAGCTACCGACCAGCCCCAAAGGATGTGAATCTTACCAAAGATTAACCAACAACAACAACAACAATAATAATAATGTAATAATAATAATGCTGTTAAGAGGGCCCTATTATATATTAATGCTCAAAGTATGAAAAACAAACTTGAAGTTCTAGTATACGAGGGCAAGTACAATATTGTTGCTATTAGTGAAACTTGGTGGAATAAAATTAATGACTGCAGTGTATTGCTGGGAGAATATAAATTGTTCAAAAGAAACAGACCTAACAAAAATATATATGAATGAGATATAAAATATGATAATGTGATTGTAATATAAGTAATGGCAACTATCAAAACTTTACAAAGATGATACTGAATTTGCAGTGAGGAAATATCAGAATGAGATACAGAATTACTGAAATTCCCACACTGGAATAATGGGTTGAAAAAAATGTCAGAATTCATAAAAATGGAAAATAGATGTTTGATCAGAGAAAAAAACAACAAAAACTTTTCTCAGACTGGAAATTTTTATGGCCTTTTTGCTGAAAGAAGAAAAAATTGAAATGATGATTTATAGATCTGAAGATGATCTTGCTATGAATATGTCTCTATTATTTAAGTGTAATGTTCCATGTGCCTGAGTAAACTGTAATCAATGAAAGTATAAACTGTTTCTTAAATTTTAAGAGGTTACAATATATTTTTGTAATGTATTTATTCCTCCTAGAATTCATAGCTCACTAACACTTCTCTTTTCTGCACATTAACATAGGCTGCAAATTGGGTGAAGCCTCTGATTTTATTGTCCGTCAAGGTACACTCATCCAAGTACCATCTTCTGTTGGAGATGTCGGTTGCTATAAAATCTGCACATGTGGCCAGAATGGTTTGTTAGAAAACTGTATGGAAATGCATTGTATTGATCTCCAAAAGTCATGCATTGTTGGAGGGCAAAGAAAAAGTAAGCACTTGTACATGGGGTTGTTTTTATATCAAGGTTTAAAAATTTTGCAGATTACAAAACTAATTCTAATTGAAACAATGATCTCCTGTCTATTTTTCACAAATTTTCTATGTAAACAAATATTTGTTGTATGTATCATTCAGTTTTGCTGACATTATTTTCTACCAATTTGTTTATTTTTTGCAGAATTCTATAATACAGCTAGTCCTCGACTTACAGCAGTTCTTTTAGGGATCATTTAAAGTAACAATGGCACTGAAAAAAGTGACTTGTGACCACTTTTCCCACTTATTACTGTTCCACTATCCCCATAGTCACTTAATGCTTGACAACTGGTTCATATTTATGCCAGTTACATTGTCCCGGAGTCATGTGACCATCTTTTGTGACTTAACAAGCAAAGTCATTGGGGAAGCCAGACTTAATAACCGTGTTATTAATTTAACAACTGCAGTCATTCAATTAACAAATGTGGGAAGAAAAATGTTAAAATGGGACAAAACTCACTTAACAAATTTCTCACTTAGGCAACATAGATTCTGGGCTCAATTGTGGTCATAAGTCAGTGACTTATGAACAAGACCTGTACCCAAGATAGTGTCTTCCAGGACTCATTGTTTAAGTGGAGTCTTGTCTCTACCCCTCAGTGTGACTGTGGAGCTCCTTGACAAAATATCTGTCACATTATGTCCGAATGTGCATCAAGAGTTTATACTAGTCCAATGTCTGATTTTTTTCAACATAGACTACCCTGTCCTTGAATGACTGGGTGTACTGTAACATTTGAACCAGTATAAGTCCATGTATTTGACATACATTAAATAAATAAATAAGTCAGTGACTGCCTCTATTTCTATAGTATGTAAATGATGTGTGGACTGATTTCATTTAAGCAAATGGAAGGTGTTAAAGTTAATCTAAATTGCAGTAAAATAAATCTTAGTAAATAAATCATATTAAAAATTTCAATCAAAATGATAATCAGTTAAATCTAGATAAAGCATGAGATTTTTTTAAAAAATTTAGCTGCTAATCTGGAAACCCAATTATAATTCCATCCTGAATCATTTAAGCACTTTGGGTTAGGCTGGTCACACCCTGTTGGTATGGTAGAATTACTGTGAAAAAAATGAGAAAATGCTATCTACACGACTGTGAACTCCTAGAGAAAACATAGGGTATACATTGAATAAATTTTTTGGCTGCAAGGGCAGTATTTCATACTAATGTTGCATATATTTAAGTAGTTACATTTTAAATCCAGTACATAGTAATATATTTCTTTCATTTTAAGGCCATGGAACATCTTTTAATATAGACTGCAATGTCTGTTCATGTTTTTCTGGGAATTTGATATGCTCCACTCGTCAGTGTCTCAATGAATTAAGTTCAGATGATGAACTATTTACAGGTAGTGTTTTTAAATTTTAAGAAATGTTTAAATTTTAAGAAATGGTTTTCTGTGATGATACCTTGCCTAGATCTTTCATGTGACAACTCTTTATAGTCTGTTTGCCTTTCGATTTATTTAGATTGCTGATACTGAAGCAAATGGTTTGGGTTATATTACAGATTGAATACAACATAAGAGTTAATTGAAATTCAAAACACACAGTTCAAGATGTGGGGAGGGAGAATGTACGAACGTTAGGAAGCTGTTATGTATTTTTAAAAATTGGTTTAAAAAGATTTATACCACTTGATATTATTTTATATATAAATATAAAAATAAAAATTTATATATAAATATAAAATATATATATTTTATTTTATTTATTTTATTTTATATTTTCTCAAAAGAAAGACAATGCTGTATTTAAAATGGAAAGATTGGGCAGAAAAGCAGTTGTTTATACAAATAAAACTTTTGTACACAGTCCATCTTCCTCATATTTAAAAAGTAGTGTTTCCACTGAAATCAGTATTATAGATTTTTTCTCCATTGATAAATATAACATGTCCACATATGTTTGTGTACATTTGTATATTTATACATGCTGGCCAGGGCTTCACTTCAAAAAAAAGAGAAGAATGAAAATTAATATTACTTAAATTAAAATTCATTTCCTGCTAAATACACATGGTGTAAATTAAATGATCCTCACTTACAGTTGTAGATCAAAATAATTCTCTTTCCTCACAAACTATTGTTTTGTGTTCTCACACATATAATCACACAGAAAAATAATTTTTTTTTGCCTGCAACAAAAGTTTTTTTGCCTGCAACAAAATCTATCTGTCCTTACTCTGTGGCAGGTTTCCTTGAGGTCAGTATGCACAGGTTGATTTTGTTTCAGGGATGGATCTATTTAATTTATATACCTTCCATAAATAATGATAGATGTAAAACCTTGAAAAATTGACTTGTTTTTTTCCTCCTGTTAGCAAAAATTGAATGGTTCAGGGCAGACTTTTATGCTAGGCTACAAATATAAGAAATTTTTTCTTTCTTACTCTGTAGCAGGTTTAATAGAATCAAGTAGCTGTTGTTTCCACATATGTATGATTAGTTTCTAGACTTCATCAATTGAGTATTTTCATTTTCAGAGTCCTCAATACAGAAATAAAGGAATCTTCCATTGTAGCTCTATCCTCTCTTTATATGAAAGATAAGTAGAAGCAGGGCTAATACACACATCCCATCCTACTTGAAACTTTCTGTTTCAGCCAAGTACTTTCATTATTTGCACACAGTCCTTTATATTCATACAGTAGTCCTCGACTTACAACAGGCTGTTTAGTGACCATTTGATGTTATGAAAGTTACTTGAGATTTGATTTCAAAGTAATGGTGGCTGCAGCATCTCTGCAACCTTTCACTTTTATGACCAGTGCTGCCACTTACCTGTCGCATCCTACTGGGTCCCTGCAACCTGTACCACCCAGTGCAGATCAAGTGGCTCTAATGGACGCAAATCTTACAAGCCTCCAGCTTCTTTCCCACCCAGCAAGCAAGAGGAGATCAGGGTATATGAAGTTTCTAAACTCGAACAGGGAAGGGGAGATCAGAGTAAATGGAATTTACAAACTCTGGCAAGGATGGGGAGATCAGGACAAATAGAGTTTGTAATCCTCCAGTCAACAAGAAGGGAACCCACCCACGGACTTCCAGGCCTTAAGCCTGCTCCAGGAAATCCCCATCTTACCTTTCTGTTTTTGCAGCTTCTGAGAAAGGCACCTGACCCAATACAGGATCAGTTTCTTACAGACTCATGTCAAACTATTTAGCAATAGTTCTATTCTCGTGATACTATAGAGGTTTTTTTTAAAAAAAGAGGTGCCATAAACTGCAAAAACAAATGAAGCCTTCTTAAAAAATGGAGCATCTTAGAGATTGCTTTGCCTAATGAATGTCATGCATGTGACTATAATGGACAGGCTCCATTACAATTGTATTGTGAGGACTACCTGTATATTCATTCAACAGTGTCTACCTCTGTTATCATATTTTATCTAGTGTAAGATAATCCTTCCCTTAGATAATTATTTAAAGGACAAACACCTCATCCTCCTTCAGAGAAAAATAGTGAATGAATTTCTATAGCTGATGTAGATATAGTCAACATCCTAACCAAGGTTTGACTTTTTCAGGTCTGCCATGTAACTGCGCTGATCAGTTTGTCCCAGTATGTGGGCAGAATGGACGTACATATCCAAGTGCATGTATAGCACGTTGTGTTGGGCTACATGATAATCAGTTTGAATTTGGGTCCTGCATTTCTAAGGATCCTTGCAACTCTAATCCCTGCCCCAAAAATCAGAGGTAAACATTTAAGAAAATCTATGGAAATTATTTTGCTAGACCAGTTAACTTTTATGAAAAATAAGTTTTATCTTAATTCTGGTTTATTGTTAACAGAAACACATGAATTGTAGTAGTTTATATAATAGATATCAGTGTTATATTAATTATTACAAATATTTTATATCATTAATGTGTATTATTAAAACTTGAACTTTGAAAGAAAGATTCATGAAAATTTGATATTTAAATCCATGCTTTAATTAAAATGAAAAAAACTTTTAAAAGTTCTTAAACATAGCATATGCTTTGCTTTCATGAGTTTAAAGACTTGGAAATCAGGATTAAAAAGCCATTTCTTATAGAATGAATCTCTGGTCAAAGATCCAATTGTCTTCTTTAGTTTGACATTGTAGATAGCTTTTCTGTAGAAACTTTATTAAAAAGGAATCAATTTAAGTCATAATCTATTCCAACTCTTCCAGTATCTAATCACTATACCAATTGGATGAAAGATATTATTAAAGTTCAGTTATCTAGATAGTACCCTAATGTCAAATTCAACAACTGAACTCCCAACAACCCTGTCCTGACAACCTGAGAATCACTTTATGTTCTGGTTTAGGTATCCCAATCAATTACAGTAGAAACTCCAGATAAAATTAGGAAACAATCAAGAGTAGAATATTTTACCCCTGAGCAAAGTGTTGAGAGGCTAGGGAAGATCAAAAGTAGGGCTGTCAAACTCCCATAAATGTACTCGATAATCCCATTTGTTCCTTTGTAACTCCCCATATTTATGTACAGACATATAAATTTTCGTGATCCACAGTATGAAATGGAAAAATAAACAAAACTTCTCATTAATTTATGGGTTATAAGAGCCAGTTTGGTCTAGTGATTAAAACATGGGCTTGAAACTGGGAGACCATGAGTTCTAATCCTGCCTTAGCCGTGAAAGCCAGCTGGGTCTTCGTGGGCCAGTCACTGTCTCTCAGCTCAGCCCACCTCACAGGGCTAAATCTTACTTTCCCCCTTCCCTATGTTGAGCCACAGAACTGTTTCCCTACTTTTGTATTCCTCTGATGCAGCAATCATTTCCTTATCACAAGGAGGCCTGACAGTTTCCATATTCTGACCTATAACAACAGAAAGAAAATCTTGTAAAATTAATGGCTTTGGTGTTGATCAAGTTATAATTAAAATACTTACTGTCTCTTTTCAAACTTCAGATGTGTTTCAGCAGCTTCATAAGAATATGGTTCACCATTGAGTGCCTGGCTTGAAACTTACCTGTTCTTCTCTGAATAGGCCTTTGGTTTCAATTTATTCAGAAAATGTTGGATGTAGGTGTTTTGCATGCAATTTGCTTCTCACCATCAAAAGGCTGATTGGTCTCTAGTCAGCTGGATCCCTTATAAATAGGGATTATAATCATCAATCACCCATCTTTAGGGTTATGTCCTATTAAATCAATATTTGTGAAATGCAAGGTAAGAAAATCTGCTTACTTTGTGCAATTCTGTTTGAGTGATTCAGAGAAAATGCAACCCCTACTACTTTAAGGGATTCAGTCAGCTTAGCAGCTTTAGAGAGAAAGACTGGTGGCCAAACTTGTAGTGTAGTAAACTTTAAGGGTTAGTCATATTTGCTTGATTAGTCTCTAGGTAAATACCTCTGAAGTGTTTCTCCCATATTTGTATAGGGACTTAGTAGGATTTCTATAAGACCCCTGTCTGTAAGTTGCCAAAGATAACTTTGTGCCTTAACTGAAATATGTAAACATTGATAGCAGTCTCTGATGGCTTTATTTTATGTTATTATTTTCTTTTCTTTTTAAGAGGACCTTATATTATTGTTTAAGATTGCTTAAAAATTGAGACTATTTTAGTCTGTATAATTTGTAAACTTTCCTAAAATCTCTGTTAAATTGTTTTTGCATTTCCAGTCAAACTTTAATTGGTATTTGTTGGCATTATTCAGTACAAATGTCAGTACAACTTATCTTTGAACTGATTTATGGAGTAATTGAAAATTACTAGTGAGCTCTTCATACAACACCATATAATGGGCCTCCATTCATGCTTTTCTAAAATGGGCGTGGGATTAAAGCCATTCAGCTACCATATCCACATATTTTTATTCCATCTGACTTTGATGGTAGCATTTGTATTCTCCAAGGTTAGAGGAAACCTTCCCTCTGTTTTCTAGTCTCACAGTTAAGTCTAGTTTTAGTACTATAGGATGTTTAAGTGGTCATCCACTAGGAGTCCAAGTTCCCGTTCACAGTTACTGTTTTTGATCCAGGTTTCACCTAATTTCTAGTTATACCTTTGGTTTTTCCTGCCTAGGTATAATCCTTTCTTTTCTCCACATAAAATGTCATTGTTCAAGTCTGTCAAGATCTTTTTGGATCCTGAGCTTGTCTTCTGGGATGTTGGCTATTTCTGCCAGCATAGTGTTCCTCTTGTATTCCATCATTTAAGTTATTTAAAAAGATATTGAAGAGTACTGGGCTTAAGATGGAATCTTGTGGTACCCCACTGCTTACTTCCCTCCATGTAGAACTACTCATTGAGTAGTTTGTCAGCCAGTTTTAATATTTTAAGTAGTATCATCTGGTGGTGATGCTGTCTATCTCACATTTTTTCTAGCTTACCAAAAAGTAAATTGTGGTCTACTTTGTCAAATGCCTTGCTGAAATCTAAATATACTATGCCCACAGCATTTCTCTGGTCTACTAATTTAGTCACTTTGTCAAAGAATGAATTAAGATTGGTTTGGCATGATTTGTTTTTAACAAACCTGTACTGGCTATCTAGTTATAGGTTTATTTATTTATAGGTGTTCACAGATCTGTTTTTTTATTATCTTTTCCAGTATATCCCCAGGTATTGAAGTTGGGCTGATTGGTCTGTAATTTCCTGTGTCTGTTTCCCCCGCACTTTTTTTTGAAGATGAGAACTACATCACTCCCCCCCCCCCCCCACCAATCTTCTGGTAGTTCCCCAGTGCTCCAAGATTTTTAAAATATATGGTACAATGGTTCTGAGATAACATCTGCTAGCTCCTTCATAACTTCAGGGTTGTAATTCAGTCCTCGGTGATTTATATTCATCAAGATCAGACAGATGTTTTCTTACCATTTTGTCTTCTGCTTATTTTAATTTCTATTTTGAGTCTGTCTTTTACAGTTATGTTTTTGGTAGGTTGGGCTATACAGGTAGTCCTTAACTCACAACAGTTCATTTATTGGCTGTTTGAAGTTACAATGGCACTGAAAAAAGTGACTTATGACTATTTTTCACACTTAGGACCATTGCAGCCAGTGGTGGGATTCAAATTTTTTTACTACCAGTTTTGTGGGCATGGCTTGGTGGGTGTGGCAGGGAAAGAATACTGTAAAATCTCCAGTCAGAGGTGATATTTGCCGGTTCTCCGAACTACTCAAAATATCCACTACTGGTTCTCCAGAACTGGTCAGAATCTGCTGAATACTACCTCTGATTGCAGCATCCCAGTGGTCACATGATTTATATTCAGATGCTTGACAACTGACTCATATTTATTATGGTTGACTTCTGGCAAGTCATGATTCTTAGTTATGGCTTTTGCAATAATTGAAACATTGATTTCATTTCTGTCTGGAAGGTGTTCAGTTCTTCATGCTGCATCTTGCTATCTATTGAGCATTGACTCACTGGACTTGCTGCTGCTGCTGCTGCTGATCCATTTTTTTCTCCCTATTTTACTTAAATTTGTATGGCTTGTCATTTTGATTATTTTAAATAAGAAAATATTTTAAGTAGTATAAATGTTTAACAGAAACAATCAATCAACAATATACTTTCACTCTAAGAGTTTTTTTTTCCAGCCAGTAGATGTCGGTGTTGCTCTATTTCTCTCCTATTCATCTCCTTTAGCTTAGCTTAACTTAAGCAAAAACTTTTTCTTTTTGGGCTTCCAGGGTCCAAATTTTGCATTCCAAAAAAAGTTTTTAGTTCAATAAAACCCAATTAAATTGTCATTAAGATAACCAGTCCAATTTTCCTCTTTTAAAACTTATTTCTTTCAAATAGTTCACTTTTCTTATCCAGATCTATTTTCAGCTCCTGTGCTTATTCACTGCTACCGTGTTTCTCCAACAATACAGCCTCCTACAATAGGAAGTCCCAGCATGTTTTATAGGCATAAAATCAAATTAAGTCCCTCCCCCCAAATTAAGGCCTATATTAAACATGTGAAATGGGGGTAATGGCGGGGGGGCTTGCCGTTAGGAAGTACTTTTGTTGCATACCTGGATATGGTGCTGCCTACATTGACTTCGGCGTTGGTGGGGCACTTCGTATCGGGAGACCTTCTGCCACCATTGCTTTCCCTACTCCCTGTGTTGCTGCGGCATTTAGAGCAACACCGCCATGTTTGGCACAGCCACGTGCGGCCAGCCAGGGCTCCTCCCTGCAACCGGAGCCGGCGGAGACACTTGGCTTCAGGTGCTCCTGTCGCCGCCTTCCCTTCGCCTTCAAAGGCAAAGCCAATTCTTTTAAAAACAACGCCCTACTACCGGTACGACAAAGGCTCCCCTGCCCAAGAGGGAAGCCCAACCTCCGCGGACAGGGAGGTGAGGCGACAGCAGCGCTGCTTCCCTGGCCGGCGGGTCCGGCGGAGAGAGCCCAAAGCCACCCATCCTTTCCACCCCTCGCCCAGCCTGTCCCCGTCCCCACACATCTCCAAATGCTCTGGCAGCTCCAAACGCTGCAGCAGCACGGGCATCGGGCAGAGGCGCTCACTCGGCAGGGTTCAGCTCGGAGGAGGACGTGGCGCAGGCCATCGCCTTGCCTCCCTGTCCACGGATGGGTGGGTGCTATCACTGCCTCGGGCAGCCTCTCCCGGTGGCCCCTTCGGGTTCGGGCTGGAGGGACTTGGGAAGGAAGCCAAGCTCGGGTCGGCCTGGCTCTTTCGCTTGGCAGGCGGGCGCGCACCCACAGCTCGCTTTCCCAGCTCTGCCCAGCCCGCCCGGCTCCGGCGCGGCCCTGGCGGGATGAGCGGAGGGCCCGGCGGGGAGGCACTCGCTGCCTTGGTGAGAGCTCCGCCACCGAGCAGGAGGGCCCGCCTGTCAGCTGCGCCCAGTGCCAGGCAGGGATAGCAGCTGGGCGCTTCTCCTGGGGTGGGCCGATCCTGCACTGTGGCCCCGGGAGATTCGCCTCCCCACATGGGGTTGGGCTGCCCTCTCAGGTAGGGGAGGCTTTGTCATACTGGTAGTAGGGCATCATTTTTAAAAGAATTGGCTTTGCCTTTGAAGGCAAAGGGAAGGCGGTGACAGGAGCGCCTGAAGCCGAGTGTCTCCGCCGGGCTCCAGTTGCAGGGAGGAGCTCTGGCTGGTCGCGCGTGGCTGCGCCAAATGTTGCAGCATTGCTCTAAATGCCGCGGCAGCACAGGGAGAAGGGAAAGCAATGGTGGCGGAAGATCTCCCAATACGAAGTGCCCCACCAACGCTGAGGTCAACATCCAAGCCGTCGCCGCCCGCCCGAGGATGCAAGGGGGGGAATTAAGTCACCCCCGAAAAGACGGCCTAGCTGTTTTTCGGGGTCAAAAAAAAATAAGGCCCGGCCTAATTTTGTGAGAAACATGGTATTCTCGGGGGGAGGGGTGAAAGATAAACAAATCCACCCCCTTCTTTTGTAGTCCCACTATCACCCATACAAATTATTCTGGGGGCAAATTCCTCAAGAGAAGTTGGAAAATTCTCACTCAACAGTTTAGCCAAACTTCCTCAATCTTCAGTCATTCTTCTGTCAGGCTGTCACAGCCTCGGTCAGGCACACAATGGCCATCCTTTTCTTCCTGCTGGATTGAAAACTTCCTCTGGATCGAACAAGAAGTTTGCGGCCTCCTTGTGGTCTATGGAGTGTCCTCTCTATCTTTACCACCCCTCAGGGTGGCTTAGGTCCCAGAAGACCCTCTATTAGGTAGAATTCAGCGAACTTCCATAGAGCTCTATGGAAGTGCACTATGTCGCCACGACATCAGCTCCACCTTGGCTTTTAGTTTTTGGCTGATGTTAACCTTCATATGTATGTGTTCTTCCAAAAAAAAAGATGTTGTACTGTATCAAGGCAGTGTGGCCTTTTATAATTGACATATGGAACTGTGGTCAATGTGAAGAATTTCTAAGTGCCATCCATAATTTTTGGCACTTGGTGTATTGATAACCATTATGACCATCACAATGGATTTATAGTATAATCTTTAAACTTCAATTTTCAGATCTTGATACTTTCTGATGTTCTCTATTCTACTATATCCTGATATTGCTAAATCAGTTATCCACACTTTCTTCTTTTAAAGAAGTTAAACAGTTAAATCTGGTGTGTTTAGGGCTAAGACCTTATCAGTTTGTATTTAGAAATCCCACAATATTTTAATCTGCTCATTTTTGACTACTATCTCAATTCTGTGGTCCAACCAATTTTTCATTATTGGCACATGATAATTTTTATGGATGTTCCAGTGATCATTTTGGCAACTATGTTACATTATGATTTATAATCAGTTTCTGTGACCTTGCATGAGCTCAATATATGATTTACTGTTTCTTGTCTCTTTGCATAATCTGCACTTTTTCAACTCTGTCCTTGATTGCATTAGTTCAAATTATATTGGAACTGGAAGATACGTTTTTTCCTGTGGAATAAAATACAGAGCTGCCTTGAGGAATAGCTAAAGCCTCTAAAGTCCACATGACCTTTACCTTATTTTTGTTTGGGGAAATCTTAAATCATGGCTCTTTCAGCAGTTCATGGGATAGCGTGCTTTTTTATTCCATCCTCATGCTGGAATTTTAATGCTCAATCTTCCCTGGAAGGAAGCATTGTAAACTAGGGGTGTATCTTATGTGTTGAGTTGTGTTGTGGTATAGTACGGTATGGTATGGTGCAGTATGCATGGTACGGTATAGGTATGTTATTACTATTTTCAACTTCATTTTTAAAAATATGTTCTAAATTGCCTAGAGTTTTTGGGATGAGTGAGGCAGCTCATAAATAAATATTGCCAAAACAATTGGTATTCCAAAACCCCACTCCCCTCCCCCAAGAATAATTAAGGGAAATGGGAAATTTAGCTAAGGATTAAGGAGAATGAATCAGTTTTTTGTTCTGCTGTCAAATCAGTACTGCTTTCTTTTTTGGAATCCATTATATTGCCTCTGATTATAGAAAGATAGGAATAGAAATATATTAGAATCATAGAAACAGAAGGTCCCATTTGGGTTGGTAGATCCAAAAGCCTACTTAGAACAATAATCCAAATTAAAGTATTCCAGGATGGCTTTATTTATTTAGCCTATGGCAAATACATGGTCCCACAGTAGTTCAAATGTCAATATCCAGTCCACCCAGACATCCAAGGACAGGGTGGTCCATGCCAAAAAAAAAATCAGACACTGATTCAGGATGGAATTATAATTGGATTTCCAGATTAGCAGCTAAAATTAAAAAAAAAAAGTTATCGTGCTTTATCTAGATGTAATTGATTATCATTTTGATTGAAATTTCTACATGTGATTTACTTGCTAAGATTTGTTTTACTGCACTCTCTTATTTTAGGTTAACTTTATCATCTTCCATTTGCTTAAACGAAATCAGTCTACACATCATTTACATACTATAGAAATAGAGGCAGTCACTGACTTATTTATTTATTTAACGTATGGCAAATACATGGACTTATAGTAATTCAAATGTTAATATCCAGTCCTTCTAGCCATTCAAGAATAGGGTGGTCTATGTTGAAAAAATCAGACATTGGACTAGTGTAAGCTCTTGATGGACATTCGGACACAATTCTGTGGTCATTCGGACACAATGTGATGAATATTTTGTCGAAGAGCACTACAGTCACACTGAGGGGTAGAGACAAGACCCCACAACAATGTCCCCAGTGTGTCTTGTCCTTTGGGCCTGAAAAGGCCTATTGTTTATCCATTGTTTATCCTTTGCCATGTATTTAGAGAGCCAGGAGATCTACAAAGATGTCTGCCTGCTAACTCTCGTTATCTGCCAATTCTACAATGTAGTTTGGCTGCCAATTGTTGCTAGTCATTTTGTTCAACTACCATGCAATCCAGGGTGCACCACGAGGAGGCGAACTAGCATCACACCCCAGGGAGATGGCTGATAGCCTCTGATTGAATGTTTACAGTGAAGTGGCTCTCTCTAGATGGCCTAGCAGTAGTAAATCTAATCTGACCAAGTTGCCAAACTGGGAGCTTCTTGAAGAAATTTCCCCTTTGATAGAAGGTTCCAGGAAGAGTAAAAGAAGGCAGTCACCTGATTAGTGCTTAGGTAGGATTATTAAAATACTATATAACTGATCTAATTGAGATGTGGATTCCCTGACAATATCTCCTGTCCTTTGTGAGCATTGCAGATTTCATAAGTAAAATAACCCTTTTATAACACATTTGTATCCATTCTGTATTTGATGGTTATGATCAGAAATATTTATTAACATATGATTGTTTACAAGTTTTTAAAGAACAGATCAGAATATACAGTAAATTAGTTCTTTTTTGTAATATTTCTATTGTTTTTGTTTTTCTTTTGGAATAAATATTTTAAAATATTTTCTCCAGATGTTTACCAAAGCCACAGGTTTGTTTAACAAGTTTTGAGAACTTTGGATGTAACCAATATGAATGTGTGCCAAGACAATTTAGTTGTGGTGACCAGTTGCGAGATCCTGTTTGTGACACAGACAATATAGAATATAATAATCTCTGTGCTCTGCATCAAAAAGGAAAAATTATATCATACAAAGGTCCATGTCAGGTATGAAACAATCTTTTATTTGGTCAGTTTCTGTAAAATCCTATAAATAAGCCTTAGCAGTTTTTCTGAATTTTATTTTACAGCTTTTTCAAATTTGGCTAGGTCTCTGAGAATTTCATCTTATTTTACAATCCTTGTGAACTATATCACTTATTTGAAAATACTAGAACTATTGAAGTGTTTCTAAATGTTTCAAGAAGAGAACGTCAAGAATTGTCACCTCTGCTTTATCAAAGAAATCTTGCTATCTGTATCAATTATCTTTCTGCTGTTCAAAAGTTTTTGTATATTCATCTTCATAAAAAGCTTTTATTGAACCAAGGGCTTAATTTGATTTGTACCATCAACTGGGTGTTTATTCTTAGCATCCACAGAGATTAATTTTCTTAAGGATCACTTATTCCTTAAATCTTCCAAAGATGTGCCCACTCCTAGTCCATCCACCTTGCTGCTAATTGTCCTGTTTTTTTTCCCTTCCATATCTCCCAACATTATAGATTTTTCTAGAGAATAGATTTTCTTATAATGTGTCCAAAATATGATAGTTTGAACTTGATGATTTGTGTTTGGGAGAACTCTGGGTTGATTTGTCCTGTGATACTTTTGCATGTTTTCTTGATTATCCATTATTTATTTATTTTATTTATTTATTTATTTATTTTGATTTGTCAGTTGCTTACAAGATAATAGTATATACATAGTTATGAATACATGAAATGAGTACATATAAGAAAAATAAAAGAAACAATAGGACAGGAACGGTAGGCACGTTGGTGCGCTTATGCACGCCCCCTACAGACCTCTTAGGAAAGGGGTGAGGTCAATAGTAGACAGTCTAAGGTTAAAGTTTTTGGGGTTTGGGGAAGAAACCACAGAGTCAGGTAGAGTATTCCAGACATTGACCACTCTGTTGCGGAAGTCGTATTTCATGCAGTCAAGTTTGGTGTGGTTAACCTTGAGTTTGTATCTATTGTTTGCTCTTGTGTTGTTATGGTTGAAGCTGAAGTATTCATTGACAGGTAAGTCATTGCAATGCATGATTTTATATACCATACTTAGATCAGACTGAAAAAGGCGTAATTCAAGGTTTTTTAGGTGTAGAATTTCAAGTCTGGTGGCATAAGGTATTGTACAACGAGTAGAGAAGTGGAGAACTCTTCTTGTTAAATATTTCTGGACTTTCACAACTGTGCTAATATCAGATACGTAATGTGGGTTCCAGACTGATGAGCTGTATTCGAGTATTGGTCTAGCAAATGTTTTGTATGCTCTAGTTAGTAGTGTGATATTACCAGACAAAAAGCTACGTAGGATTAGGTTAACAACTCTTAATGCCTTTTTGGCTATGCAGTTACAGTGGGCTCTAGCACTTAGATCATTAGAGATGAGTATTCCGAGGTCCTTTACAGAGCTTGGATCATCAACAAGCTCTTGAAAATTCAGCTTGTATTTTATTTCCTGATTTTTTTTTGCCAATATGTAAGACAGAGCATTTATTTGTTGAGATTTGAAGTTGCTATTTGTTTGACCATTCTGATACATAGTCAAGATCTTTTTGAAGGGTAGCAGTATTGTCTGTGGTATTGAACAGCTTTACATCATCAGCGAAGAGAACGCAGTTGCTCTTAATATGATCACAGAGGTCATTTATGTAGAGTATGAAGAGAGTTGGTCCTAGAACACTGCCCTGGGGGACACCATTATTGATAGGTACAGAATTTGATAGGACACTCCCAATTTTGACCATTTGTTGTCTGTTTGACTGGAATGCTTCTATCCAGTTATGGAGGTGTCCAGAGATACCATAAGATTTTAGTTTTAGGACTTCCGGTTTGTCGGCTTCGCGAGCGGCAGGGAATTGCGAAGCTGCGCGATCCCTGCCGCGCTAGCCGTTTTTGGGGCTCCGACCCAGCCGGGTACGGAGCTAGGCTGCCCTGCAGGGGCAGCTGAAGTAGGGGGGATCCGGAGAAGGGTTTGGGGGTGCTGCAGACTCCCTCCCTGGCCGGCAGAACTCCCTTTTCCCAGGACGGTGCAGCGGCGGTCCGTAATGGCCGCCACAAAGAAGCTGGCAGCCGGGTAAGAATGCGCAGGAGGAAGTGGAGAAAGTGATTGAGAGGAGAAAGTTTTTCTTGGCTCCTAGGACTCTAAGACATATTTAATAAAATTCCTGAAAAGTATGATTCTCTGAATAATACCTGCCAGAAGAGGAAAAAAGCGGCTGCTTGAAGGTGCTGAAAGGATAGCTTTCCCTCTTTTCCTACGGAATAAATAACTGGATATTAAGAAACCTATTTTTTTAGGTGGAAATTGGTTTTAAGCGATGAGTGGGAAGAGAGAGGATTAAGAAGAAAATATTTGTATGCTAAGATTTGTTGGAGCAGATGCCTTAAGGATTTGAAGACTAGAATATATTGTAATAAGATTTTAAACAGATTTGGACTTTCTTTCTCTTTGATTGATATTACCCCAGAAGGAGAAAGTGAGAACTCTGCCTTGGTTTGGACTGATTGATAACTTTGGGACTGTTTTATCTTTTTTATTTTCTTTTGAATATTCTGGTTGTTGTAAGAAGAAAGAAGGAGAAAAGAAAAGAAAAGATTTATAATGGCTCTTTCTGTTGAGGAACTAAGAAAAGAATATGAACAAGCAAAAAAAAACGGTAAAGATGGTGTGGAAGAAGCTTTCCTTTTCTTAGAAATGGCGCTTACTAATTATCAACAAAAATTACAACAGATGAAGACAGCAGAGGAACAAGAAAGAAAGGAAGGAGCCATCTTTAATGAATCTCAGAATTTGATCCAGAAAAAAGGAAGAGAGAAAGAAAAGAAGAGAAGAGAAAAGAAGAAAACTAAAGGATTTAAGGACTTAAGATCCAAAAAAACATTTAAGAAAGGGAAAAATAAAGTGCAAAACCAATATGATGATTGTAAACAAAGGGGAAAAGAAATACGACAGAGAAGGGAAGCCGGTAAGGCAGAGGCTAGAAGAAGGGGGGGTAGAAAGGTTTGTTGGGAAAAGAAAGAAAGGGAAAAGGTGGAGAAAAGCTACAATGTTTTGAAATTAAATGGAAAAAAGGAATTTTTTATGGATAATGGATAAAGTATAATTTTTTTAAATAAAAAAAAAAAGATTTTGCAAGGTACATAAGATGAGATGGTAGTATTGCAATGGTTTAAGAGTTGATAAGAGATTAAAATGTTAAAATGTTTAAAAATGATTGGCTTTAAAACTTAATAATAGGAGAGGTTTAGAATATTGTTTTAATTAAAGAGTTTAATAAAATTATGGTATTGATGTTATTATAAAATTTTTATTATAGTATTTCTTTTTAATATTTGGATTTATTGTCTAATTATGCACTTAATTGTGTTGGATGTATTAGTTAGATAGAATGTACCAAGCAAAATCTGATTGGGTATTAGATATTATTTTAAAGATTAATTTGATTAACTTAGGGGGGAGATAGAAAGGCATCATACTCTGATTAATGATTTCAGGAGAAACTGATTTTCTTTTTTTTCATAAGGGATGAGACAAAGGGATGATAAAAAATGGACAAAAGATACAAATATAATGATTTAAACTAAGATGATTAATTAAGGTAGAATTAAGAAGTGTGAAATATGTGGAGAAGTTAATATAGAAGGTTTAGAATGGTAAATAAAATAAGTAATGATATGTAAGATGAGCATGAATATAATTGAAGTCCATGAAGAGAGAGATACCTGGGCCCAAGTTACTTTCCAAAAAGATTTTTTTTTATGTTTTGTGTGTTGTGTGTATATGTCTTTTTTGGGGGGAGAATTGGTAAAAACTTGTAGAAATATAGAATGAGAATAATGGTAACTAAGTCAGAAAGAATCAGATGAAATAATAATAATGATATTGAATAAGAGTAAAGAGAAGTAAAGAGAAATTGAATAAGAGGTTTTGGTATATTATATGGAAATGGTTTAAAACAGAATCATAATTTATCTGACTTGTTAAATTTACAATGGAAAAAGGTTTAAACATGTAATGAATAATGATAATTTGTGTGTTTTAAAAATTAATAAAACTTGTTTTTTTAAAAAAAAAAAAGATTTTAGTTTTAGGAGTAGTTTGTCGTGTACCACTGAATCCAAGGTTTTACAGAAGTCTATGTAGATTGCATCTGTTGTTTTGCCCGGATCGAGTTGTGTAGTCCATATGTTTTTGCAGTGTAAGAGTTGCAGATTACAGGATAGTTTTTTTCTGAAACCAAATTGTTTATTAGGGGGTAGGTTGTTTATCTCTAAGTGGAGGATAATGGATTGGTTAATAATTGATTCCATGACTTTACAGGTGATGCAGCATAAGGAGATTGGTCTGTAATTTTCAACTAGGCTGGACCCTTTTTGAAGATGGGGATGACCGTGGCTTGTGACCATAGGTTAGTCAAGGAGCTGGTCCTGAAAGATTTTTCAAAAATTATGCTTAGAGGTTTTGCTATGGCAGTGGATAGCTTTTTAAAGAAGTAGTCACATATTCCATCTGGTCCAATAGATAGAGATGGTTTTAGATTGCGTAGTGCTTTTTCAACATTGTCTTCTGTAAAATCGATATGTATTAGATCATTGTAGTTTTCTGTGGTTCGGCTAGGAAATACTGGGCATGATCCATTGCTGTTTACAAATATTGAGCCAAAGAATGTGTTAAATATGTTGGCTTTAATGGTGTCGTCGTTGCAGTCTTTACCATTTGGTCCTTTCAGGGGTGGGATGGACCTTGAGTCTTTTAGTTTGTTGTTTACAAAATTGTAAAAAGCGCGGGTGGAATTGGTGCTTAGAAGGTTTTCCTCTTGTTTAATGTGATAATTGGTGCATTCAGTCTTTGTCTGGTGACATAAATTTTTGTATCGGCTTTTGAAGATGGCAACATGACCAGATTTGTTTTTCTGCCAGTGATATCTTTTTGGATTGAAGTTTCCTTATTGTTATGGGTAATCTCTTTTTGTTTGTTTGTTTGTTTGTTTTGGGAGTTGTTATTGGTACATATAGTTTGATGACTTTTTTGACTTCAAGTAAAAATATGTTGTAATGGTCTTCAACATATTGCATCCAGTGAATAGAGATTGCCAATTAAGGGATGAGAGATCGTTGTCTATAAGATTATAGTTGCCTTTTTTGAAGTTATAATTGAGGATTACATCATTGTGATGATTTTTGTGTGGGTGTATGTTGAGACAAAAGTCAATCATATTGTGGTCACTGTTGAAAAAGGGTTCTTTAGTTTGTATTCCATAAATTAAATTCAAACTATTGCAGAAGATGAGATTGAGGCAGTTGTTAAGTCTAGTATTGTTGGTTACTAGTTGTTCCAGTCCCAGATTTGTAACAGCATTGTAGAAGGTTGCATGTATGGGTTCAATTTATTTATTTATTTATTTATTTATTATATCCCCATGAGTCTTCTCCAACACAAATGTTCAAAATTGTCCATTATTTATAATCTGTTTGTTTAAAATCCAACTTTTATATACACAATACCACAGGAAAAATCATTGCCTGATGATTCTGATATTAGTAGACATAACATCTGAATATCTTCCAAAAGCCTTCACTACTAGTCTATGGTATATTTTATTACTAAACTGTAAGCTTTAAAATAATGCCTTCTAATTGAAATATTGCATTATTTGTCTTTGTATATATTGAATGAAGTAGATTTGTCTCTAAAGGAGTGATAGAGTAATAGGAGAATCACTTTTGTTGATTGTTGCTAGTCTTCGCCTATTATCAAGTCTTCTTTACTTTGCCACTTCTTACTTAGTTTTAACAAATGACATACAGTTTTATTCTTTAAAATGCTTTTTTATTGAACAAATTCAGAAACAAAAATATAATGTTGAGATGAGGTACTAATTACACTTCATAAAATACTTAAATGTCATATGCAATAAAGTATAAATAAAAAACTGAAAATATTGCAAGAACTATTATTTTATTAATAATAGTAATAATTTAGTTTATTCAGTTGTGGTATCACATACCCAGGTGAAAACTCACTTTGACAATATCTATTGAAAATGTGTTTCGGGATAATCTATATGCAGATTATCAGTAAAATTAAAAATAAATCCAAATATGTAAAATAAAATTAAAGTTGTCTAAGATCCTCAGTAGAACTGTCAAAAGAACTCTTAATTTCTCTGTGAAGTAGGAGTCTTATTTAAGTTTCTCAAGTAAATGCAAAAATTGCAAGCTCTCAAACTCTATAATATGTTTTAAAAATACCCTTTGACATTTACAAATAATTTGAGTTGGAAAAAACTAAATAAGAGAGTAGATAAAGAAAGATAAACCTATAAAGCTGTTGTTTATCATAATTCATAAATCTTAAACCTGAATAAATCCCAAAGTTGTGAAAAGGGTATGTCATAGGGTGGGTAAAATGCAACAAAAGATTTAATAAACAACAACAACAACAACAACAACAAAACAATAATAATAGGGTTGGAAGGATTTTGACATGCCTTTCACTCTCTGAATAATCTTAATATTTTGTAGAAGCATCTAAAACTCAGAATATAACATTTATGGCTAAGCATCATAATGTTATGCTTTACAGAATTGAGGAATTGGTCAAACAGTAATTTAAAAGTAACCTTTAAAAAAAAACCACATAAATTTTGTATAGCGATTAAGGTATTATCTTTGAAACCAGGGACTATGAGTTTCCCCCTTCTCTTTTCTTTTATAGTTTAACATTGGATTTGTTCTACTCTTGTATGTTTATCTCTATTTTACAGGATATTGGATAATGTAAACATTGAAAAAGAATTACTCTTTTTGCATACAATTTGGGAAATTATATTCTTCTCTGATTTTGGAAATAATTCCAAATTTCTCTGCTGATATTTCTTTATTTATTTCAGTCCTTTTGCAAATCAGTAGATTTGGTATGTGGCCATAACGGGGAAACTTATAGCAACGTCTGTGCTGCTTTTTCTGATCGTGTGGCTGTTGATTACAATGGACTTTGTCAAGCTGTGGGAGTCCTTTCTGACTACAGTTATCAAGGAGAATGTGTATCTGTTACATGTTCCCGTCTTTCAGCAACAGGATACAAGCCAGTTATCCCACCAGGTGAAAATTCTGGCATTAATATTTGATTGACATTTGAATTATGCATACAAAATATTGCTTGGGATCATCTTAGAAAAGGATACAATTTTGGATTTTGCATACATAAAATGAACTGATTCTTCATTGTGGTCTCTAGATTCACACTGAGGGGATTTTGTGTCTTTGCAGTATCTTTGTTTCAATTGCTGAATTGAGCTTTCATTTCCCTTTAAAGCCTACCAACCAGTTGGAAATAATATATAGTCTGGATTTTTTAGATTTGTATCAGTGATAAACATTTTGTCCAAACAAGGATAAACTGATCTTTGCTCAATAATTTTCAGTCAGTTGTTTCAGCCATACAGGTGAAACTCGAAAAATTAGAATATTGTGCAAAAGTTCATTTATTTCAGTAATGCAACTTAAAAGGTGAACCTAATATATGAGATAGACTCGCAAAGCAAGATAGTTCAAGCCGTGATGTGGCATAATTGAGATGATTATGGCTTACAGCTCATGAAAACCCTAAATCCACAATCTCAGAAATTAGAATAATGTGAAAAGGTTCAATATTCTAGGCTCAAAGTGTCCCACTCTAATCAGCTAATTAAGCCATAACATCTGCAAAGGGTTCCTAATCCTTTAAATGGTCTCTCAGTCTGGTTCAGTCGGAATCACAATCATGGGAAAGACTGCTGACCTGACAGTTGTGCAGAAAACCATCATTGACACCCTCCATAAGGAGGGAAAGCCTCAAAAGGTAATTGCAAACGAAGTTGGATGTTTCCAAAGTGCTGTATCAAAGCACATTAATAGAAAGTTATGTGGAAGGGAAAAGTGTGCAAGAAAAAGGTGCACAAGCAGCAGGGATGACCATAGCCTGGGGAGGATTGTCAGGAAAAGGCCATTCAAAAGTGTTGGGGACTTTCACAAGGAGTGGACTGAGGCTGGAGTCAGTGCATCAAGAGCCACCACACACAGACGGATCCTGGACATGGGCTTCAAATGTCGTATTCCTCTTGTCAAGCCGCTCCTGAACAACAAACAACATCAGAAGCGTCTTACCTGGGCTAAAGAAAAACAGAACTGGTCTGTTGCTCAGTGGTCCAAAGTCCCCTTTTCTGATGAGAGCAACTTTTGCATCTCATTTGGATACCAAGGACCTAGAGTCTGGAGGAAGAATAGAGAGGCACACACTGCAAGATGCTTGAAGTCCAGTGTGAAGTTTCCACAGTCTGCATTGATTTGGGGAGCCATGTCATCTGCTGGTGTTGGTCCACTGTGCTTCATTAAGTCCAGGGTTAACGCAGCCATCTACCAGGAGATTTTGGAGCACTTCATGCTTCCTTCCGCAGACAAGCTTTATGGGGATGCTGACCTCATTTTCTGTAGAGTTGTAATTGCAGGAATGTTCTAATCTCGGATGGCAAACCTCAGATAAAGAATGTTTCCAAGCAAATACAACTCAGGCAAACAAAGTCACTAATCTAAAGGAGGATTAGAGAGAGGAAGTAAACATATGTTAGATTTTAACTAGAGATAATTAATTGTGTTAATTACTATGCTAAACAGTAACGAAAGTTAAGCAGTAACCAAAGTTAACCAATGTTGGAGGATAAATGTGTATAAATGCAAGATTAGACTCCAATAAAGTTCATCATGATTCAGTTGATCATGATCAAACAACTCGACTGCCTCGTCATTACAACAATTTTCCAGCAGGACTTGGCACCTGCCCACACTGCCAAAAGCACCAAAACCTGGTTCAATGACTGTGGGATTACTGTGCTTGATTGGCCAGAAACTTTTGACCGGAACCCCATAGAGAATCTATGGGGCATTGCCAAGAGAAAGATGAGAGACATGAGACCGAACAATGCAGAAGAGCTGAATGCCGCTATTGAAGCATCCTGGTCTTCCATAACACCTCAGCAGTGCCACAGGCTGATAGTTTCCATGCCACGCCGCATTGAGGCAGTAGTTGCTGCAAAAGGGGCCCAAACCAAGTACTTAATACATATGCATGCTTATACTTTTCAGAGGTCCGATATTGTTCTATGTACAATCCTTGTTTTATTGATTGCATGTAATATTCTAATTTTCTGAGATTGTGGATTGGGGTTTTCATGAGCTGTAACCCATAATCATCACAATTATGACACATCATGGTTTGAACTATCTTGCTTTGCATGTAATGAGTCTATCTCATATATTAGTTTCACCTTTTAAGTTGCATTACTGAAATAAATGAACTTTTGCACAATATTCTAATTTTTTGAGTTTCACCTGTATATTTGTGCTACCAACTGTCTCCATCTTTTTCTTCCTATTTGAGCAATGAGAACTTCAGTCCTATGTTGTATGAAGTCTCCCTCCCAATTATAAGCAAATTTGCAATGAATTGGTCCATGAATTCACTCTTCATTAAATATTATGATGTTCCATGTCAAAAGGATGCTCTTCAAATGATGCCCTTCTTATGGTTGCCTATTAATACTATTTCTTCCCCAGACATTTAGCTGATTACTTTATTATCAGTGTGAATTACAAAGGCCACAGTGAAGAACAGGTTATTTGTTTGTAACTCTAGTAGTGCATATGTCAAGTTTAAATTTATTCTTGGACAATTTTCACTATCTACCCTCCCTCTATTTTGGAGCTTAATTTTCTCTTGATGATGATATGATATCAGTAATAAATAGGATTCCATAGAAGCTAATGTTCGATATTGGTGGATGTTCCTAAAGAAAGGTATACTAAAAACCAATTGTAAATAAGTTCATTGTGGAGGGAAAGTATATGAGACTCTAGAGAATGAATCAGGAATGTGAAAGCTTAGATAAAGCTGAAGCTAATATTTCTAATATTAATAAAAAGGGCTTATTTGTGTGTTGCTCAGTGAAGATGAAACATGTTCTTATATTCCTCTAGGATTTTTAATTATCATACATTCATAGCAGGTTTTTTTAATCCATTTCAATCCATCTTTGTGTATTTGCTGTCTTTTTATTGTGCAGGAGCTTGTTGTCCTTTGTATGCAGGAATATTGAGGGTCTTATATGACAAAGAAAAATTGGATACTTTTGCCAGGGTAAGTAAACACTGTCTTTTTTATTTACAAAGTTAAACTATTGGGGATGGCCATCTATTCTGGACTTGCCGATATTCAACAGGATTTATAACTGCAAATGGGGGAATAGGAATGGAAAACAAACAATCATTTACTGGATAGTAAATGATCTTCTTTGTAGTGACATAAGACAAGCTCATGTGGCATAAATCGTGGTAATGTTTTATAGGCTGTAGTTAGTAGCCGTGATCTAAAATAAATATAGATTGCACTGAACAAGTGACTATATACATGCATCTAGGGGACCACCTCTCCCCAGGTATATCAGCTTTCCCCATTTGATCCCACAGAGAAGGCATGCTGCAAGTGCCATTGGCTAAGGACTTAAATCTAGTGGCTCCCAGGACATGTGCCTTCCTACACTCCTTCCATCTGAATTTAGATTAGCTTCACCCTTTTTGATTTTTCAAAAGGCTCTCAAGAGGTAGTTATGCTCCCGCACTCAGGGCTCCTGTGGTCTCTATGGTTCCTAGAACTGGAACTGTACATTTTCTTATACTACAGTATATTCATATACCACCTTTTACATTACCTTTTATTCTTTAAACTTTTCATCTCTGTTTTTTAAGATCTTATTAATTCCATCCAACATTCTGACTTTTCTACTTGCCCTTTAAGTTGTTATTCTTTTTTCATATATTTATTTGTGGTAGAAACTGAAAGACATTATTGCAGTCATTAAATGGCACAAAAGAAATCAATATGAAAAATTTCCGAAAATGAGCTGAGAATATTAGAATAGTTAGGAGAAATACATAGCAAGAAGTATACATTGAAAACAGAAAATACTGAGATAATTGCTCAGGATACATATCTGCAACAAGAAAAAAAATTCAATTATCAATCAGAATAGTATAACTTTTAAAATGGTAACAAAATACAAATAAATATTAATAAATAAGTAATAAAATAATACCAAAAGGACAGTGGAGTTTATAAACTTAACTTACAAAGCATGTCAAACCTGAGAAAAATGCAAAGTAGTCCTTGATCAACAATCCTAACTGAGACTAGAATTTCTGTCACTAAACAATGACAAACATCATGGCACTGCATCAATAAATAATAGTTCTGGTTGCAGTTGTTAGGCCAGGACTGCCTTATCATTAGGCAAATATCTCACACTTCTGCCATGCTACCCTCACCTTCACTTGGCTCCACCAGAATTCTGGGGTTGTCATCCAGAACTCTGCCCTGCATCCCTACTGTCCTGCATTCTGCCGCCTCTGTTGATCCCACCTGACCTTTGAAATCTTACGCTTTCTGTTGACAAGGGCCATTTAGATACTCCTTTATACCCCAAGGGCAGTGGAGTATGCAGGATGGCAGTAGTGTAAAGCCCAGTGCAGTGTGGGGAAAAAAGCAAAGCTGGGGAGGCGATAGGTAAGTAGTGGTAGTTGAAGCACACCTTGCAATTATTATAGAATAGCAGAGTGGGAAGGGACCTTCTAGTCCAATCCTCTGTTCAAGCAAGAGACCTTATACCATTTCAGACAACTAGCTGTCCAGTCTCTTAAAAGCTATCAGTGTTGGAGCACCCACCACTTCTAATGGCAGTATACTAAGTATTCAAATCTTGATGTTCCTGGGGATGCTGTAACAAGAATAACGTTATATAAAAACAGCATTCAGGTATAAGTAGCATTTGTTCAATAACTGGCAAAGTCATTTGTGGCTATCCAAATTCAGGCAGCTTTAGTTGCTCTTTATTGTCCTTTATCTGATTTTACAGTTAAAATGATATCAGGAGACTGATTTCTAAGTTTCCTTTAGGCAAGAATCAGCTGAATGACTTTGGCCAATTACTCTCTCTCAGCTCAACCCACTCACAAGTTTGTTGCTGTATGGAAAATATTTTATATGTCTGTGGCAGGAATATTCAATATGTTTGCCACCTTGAATTGACCTCTCTCTTGACGCACACACACATGCACAAACATATTCAGTTTCTATGAGGAAAATAAATGACAGGAATTGGGAGGGGGCTGGTGGGTGATAGCGTGGAAAGTCTGAAAAGAAGGACTAGGGGAGACATGATAGCAGTGTTCCAATATCTCAGAGGCTACCACAAAGAAGAGGGAGTCAAACTATTCTCCAAAGGCAGGACAAGAAGTAATGGGTGGAAACTAATCAAGGAGAGAAGCAACTTAGAACTAAATTCCTGCTAGAACAAATAATCTATGGAACAACTTGCCTCCAGAAGTTGTGAATGCTCCAGCACTGGAAGTTTTAAAGAAGAGATTAGATAACCATTTGCCTGAAGGGGTGGGGGAGGGGTTGGACCTCCAAAGTTCCTTCCAACTCTGTTATTCTAAGGCAGCTGCAATAAATTAAAAATAATCAAATGTTCCGATGACAGGAAGAAAAACAGCTCAGACTTCCCAAAGGAAAAAAAAAGCATGTGTTGGTGATTGACAATTCGGTGACAACTATTGACAATTTCAGTGATGAAGCACCCACAATCTCTAGAGACGGAACAGCTTGCCTCTAGAGGTTGTGGGTGTTTCATCACTGAAGGTTTTAAATAAGAAATTGGACAGCCAATTGTTGGTAGTGTAGACTCTCTTGCTTGAGCAGGGGTTGGACTAGAAGACTGAAAGGTCCCTTTCAATTCTATTATTTTGTGATAGAGGAAAAAGGAATGATATTTCTACATGTATGTACTAGATGCACCCAACTAAGCAGAGAAAATAAATGAATTCTTAGTTAATCAGCTGAGGAATGCAGGAAACACACTACTGTAGTAATGGAGGACTTTAGCTACCCTGACTTCAACTTTGTAACAAACTCTACAGCAAATGAGAGATTGAACAGGTTCTTGATGTGCCTAGCTGACAACTAGTACCCTGATAAAGTGAGATCTCCATATGAAAAGGAAGAACCTTGAGATCCAGCTTACATTCCCTTTTATAGCTTAACAGAACAAAGAAAATGCACGATAAACATTGATTGAACAAGATAAAAGTAACCTCTCCTTTGCACAGTAAATCAACCACAAAGGTTGCTTGAATTTCACAAAGAGACATACTAGACACCAGTTTTGCACTAACAAACATTTTCTTATCAGGAAATAGTATCCATCCATTCTTCTGTAGTTTATCTTTTCAGTTTAGGACTTAGAAGCTATCAATCAATCCATACAGTGACAGGATAAAAAGTTTTCTTACATTCCAGTCTATAGTGGTTTGATAAATCCTCATGAAAGAAAGAAATAAGTTAAACTAAAATTCAAAGCAACTACTTTAATTAACAAGTTATAAAATCCATGTTATGTGCCCCTCATACATGAATCGCTGTTGTCTTCTGATGGGATTATGGATTCCATCATGGCTTTGACCAAGTGAGGTTTTCATATAAATAATAAAGGGATGGGCTATGAACTTGGATAATTTGCAGCATTCTCTGCTAATGGTAAGGACAATTCTAGTCATATTTTGCACTCTTGATCAAGTATACCAAAAGCACAGCCAAATTCAAAGATGCTCGTGTTATTTTATGAGGGTCTCCATTTTACAGAAAGTAATGCATAAGATATGTGTACTAAAGTGTTATACTAGGGATACAATTTTGTAAAACGTTAGAAATTTTAAAATATTTTTTGTGGGTTTTGTAGATAACCAACCAAAAGCCTATCACAGTCCTTGAAATACTTCAAAAGATCCGTCTCCATGTTTCGGTACCACAGTGTGATGTGTTTGGATACTTCAGCATAGAATCTGAACTTATAATTCTTATTATTCCCGTTGATCAGAATCCTAAGCCTCTTCAGGTAATATTTTAATTTTTTTGCATTTAATTTTACTTAAAAAAACCAGAACACAGCATAAATTCTCTAAGACTTCAAAATTATTACTGAAACCCAATAATATTAAGTTTGATTTTCTCCAGATTATGGAATAAACAAACTTGTGGTAAAAATATGTCAAAAAGATATTTTGGTTTATCTGTGTTTTAATGGATATAGTTACTGCAATTATTTTAATACTTTCACATTTCCAATATAACATAAGAGATTCTAAAGCCAAATTAAAATGAAATAAACATGACATACTTAACAAGTAACATAACATAAATGTTATGAATAAAACATGCCAATTGAAATGTTTAAGGGGTTCCTATAATGAATCAAAAGTTATTTTAGAAATTTCCAAGAAACACTATCAAAAGCTTCATTAATAACAGGATCTTATAAAAGGTCTTATAAAAATATGAATCTTTTTAGAATTTCTCCAAAATGATTTGAGGGATGATTTAATCAAATTTCCCTTGAATTAAATTGCTTCTTTAATAAGCATGACAAGTTCTAATAAATATGTCAAAGAGAAGGAGAAATTCAAAAGGAGAAAAATGTATTCCTTTCTTCTCTGGAAAAGACCTGATACAAAATAGAAACAAAAATATAAAAGTATGACTATAAATATAAATGCTGTAGAAAAATTTTGGAATGATGATCTCTTTGAAGAAACCAGTATAAAATAAGGAATACTACAGAATATAATCTGTGCTTCATTTTATAAATAAAAAGATACATTCAAGAAGCAATATGTAAAACAAGCTACATTAGCTCTGTTTGCCCATGCTTAATTGGACTGGGAATTAGCGTAGTATTGGGAGTTCCTACCAAAACTGAAATAAAATCATAGAATGGCCTGTATAAATGGCGTTTCTGAGAAATTCTTTCTCATTTCTCTCTACAGCTGGATAATAATGAGAATTGTTATTTTAATGAAATAATCCTCCCATTGTGTCTACTCCAATTCTAGCATTGTAGATTTTAACTTTTTTTTCATTCCAATAGGGAATGAGAAGAAAGAAAGGAAATGTATATTTTGCTGCAGCTAGGAAGTTTTTAAAAAATGGCTATTTTGTAACTGGCAGTGACAACTCAGAGTGCACAGAGGATGAGTTATTTGTCTCAGGGGTAGCTGATCTGGTCAAGAAGACTTGTAAACGTAGCCACTAAAAACCTTCCTTATTGAATTTATAAAAAGACAATTTGAATCTTATTACACGAAAGAAGCACTCTGAAAATTAGATGATAAAGCCAAAAGTTGCATATTTTCCATAATGACCTCCTTTTTACTATTCACTAAATTCGGTATTATGTTTTCCTAGATTGAAGCATGCAATAAAGAAGCAGAAAAGATAGAATCACTGATCAACTCTGACAGTCCTGCTTTAGCATCCCATGTACCTCTCTCAGCGCTTATTGCAGCCCAGGTGGAAGTGTCATTCAAGATGTCTTCGTCTCATAGTCAAATTATATTAGCAAACTATTTGGTCTTTTGGAACCTTGTGCTAATTTTTTTAGCCATCAAGTGTAATACATAGTAAAAAAAATATTCAAGTAGACTTTAATATTTATTTTGCGAAAGACATTCAAATCTAGTGAAGTAACAATGTCATAATTTGTGGACCTACTTGTAGGCCCACAAGGATTGCTTCACAGAATTCCAACTGTACATTTTAATTACAAAATTGGGTTATTATTTGCCATTAACTTAATCTTTAATATACCGTAAAATAGCAAATAAACAGTGCTGTACAATATAACAAGTCCTGAATATAACAAAAATTTTCAGTGATGAAAGTAGCATAAAATATCACTGTGGTGTTTCTGTATACACACTCATTTCTTTTAGCCTTCTTCAGTTAGGTTTGTTTGGAAATATCTATTGTAAGGTTTTTGAATGTCCTGGCAAGGGAAGTTAAACTGGCTTCAGACCTAAATGGAAATGGAAAATAATTTTTAGTCAGATAGCTTGCTGTTATTGTGGGTCTTGTAATTTCATAGGGGTATGTTCAATTAGTTTTTAAAATCATAGCTTTAGTGTTTTAACCATCTTTGATCATTAGATGCCTTAATGCAATAATTTTAGTGGCAAAGTAAGATATAAATTAAATCAATAAATTATTAAGTACTGTTGGATATTTTAAACTTACAATATTAACAGATTAAATGAGTGAATATTTACACTCATTAACGGATATAACTCTAGCATACATTTTTCAGTTCTCCCATGAGCTGTTCAGAGCATCCAGAAATGGGAGGTGCTTCAGTCTCTTCTGGAAAGGCTGGGCTTAAAACTCCGGGACGCTCCTCCTCCTCCACGGGACTCCTCAGCGTCCCCCAGTTTTAGCTCAGCCTTCGTGGTAAGAGGTTGTGCACTCCCTGACTGGAACGGCTTTTCTCAAATTCAGGTTGGATCTTTAAAACCCTTCACCATTTAATTTGGCTTTTCAGGCTTTCCCCTCAATTTATGCAAAAAGTAATAATTCTAAAACAGTTTCCCTCATAAATTAGCAGAGCCTGCCACTCCGCAGGCAGCTTGAGGCTATCGCCTCAGGAAACAGCCTTATCTACCATTCCGATCACTTTCCCTCGTAAATTAGCGGAGCCTGCCACTCTGCAGGCAGCTTGAGGCTATCGTCTCAGGAAACAGCCTTACCTACCCTTCCAACCATCTGCTCTGCGATCGGAACGGAACACTCGCAGCCACGGCTTTCCTGGCTTTGCTGTTTTCTCCTGACAGCAACATTTAAATCGCAATTAGAGCAGCAGCAGCAGCGGCTCGTCAGACAGCTCAGGCTTAACACCGGTGATTCCGCTTCCCGCCCTTTTCAACGGCTGCCTCAATTTCGCGCCTAATTACCATAGCCTCCATTCCTCGCTGGTTTCCCTTGCTGGGGACCGAGGTAGTAACTTTCCATTGTGTCCTTCCTGGATTTGGCTATCCTTCTGGCTAACGTGGAACTAAACGGCTACTCATTATACAGGCATTTCTGTGCATTTGCCTTTGGATCATTTACTCAGTTGGAAATTGCGAGTGACAGTTATATTGCGGGGTGTTTGTCTCTGACAGGCAAGGAGTCACATCAGAGCCTGTAATAGCTCGTTTCCCTTGCTGGGGACCAGGGATCCGGAGTTTTTTCTCTCACTTGGAGCATTTGGGGGTTTCCCTTGCTGGGGACCCTTAGATACTGTTCACCATTTAATCTCTTATTCCTATAAATATACAGTCTTACCTTCCTGGAGGAGCGTTCTAATTTCAACTGCAGGGGAAGGCATCTCCCCAAAGTTCAAATTTCTACCACAATATCAATAATAATCATAATAAATTTAAAAAAATTAAAAAATTAAATTTACATTCAGAGGCAAGACAATCCATCATACAAAATGGAACGTGACAACGCTTTCCGCTCCAAGCCAAGTAAGTCCCGAGACAAGCCTGTGGGCCCCAAAAAGGCCTCTAAGGCAGCAGATAAGGATGCCCATAGAAGGCACCTAGCATTGGAAAGACAATTGCAAAAACAAGCCAGGGAGGCAGACAGGATGGCTATGACTGATCGGAACCCAAACCCATTGATGGGGCCCTTGGACCTATCTACCCAGCCCAGACAGGCTGTTTCTAAACCCCCCATAGGCACATCTCCTCCATTGAGCACTGGCCGGCCAATTCCTGAAGCAACCTTCCCCCCTACAGCCGCCGGCCTAAGACAGGAGGAGGGATTACCTGAGTCTATTCCCATCGAAATGAGGCAATGGATGGAGATGGCGATTCAAAGGGGCATTGCGGCTGGAGTTCAGCAATCCATCTGGACCAGACACTTCTCGACCGCTTCGGATGCGGGATCCCTGTCCGCCCGCTCCTTTGGGCATACCCAACAACATCAATCTCAGGTATTCCCCAATATTCTTAACATACCGGCCCAGGGCCTTTGGGAGGAGGTGGACTTTGAGGACCAGGAGGTTTCCATGGAGGGGGGGTCGATCCATCGACTTGGGGCTGTCAGAGATTGACCCGCTAGAATGGGGAGACGAAGGCCTCATTCCAGACCAACCTACTTTTTCTGGCCTTTTTCGTCCACACCTCTTTAAATCTTTACTGTTCAAGGCAAAGAACACCGCTAAACTAGGCACATCAGACCCTCATCCATTACCAACAGAGTCTCAGGACGAATCCCAGGACCTAATATTCTCGCAACCGGCTAATGAGGCGGAAACTATCCCTGTCCCTTGTATGTTTGCTGAATTAGTACAAAATCAATGGGCATCAGCAGCATCATACCCAGCCCCAACAGGGTACGATAAGCGATATTTTAATTTGGCACCAGAGTTTGCAAATTTTCTCAAAATGCCCAAGGTGGATGAACCCATTGTGGCACTGGCCTCTTCTTCCACTTTCCCTAACGAGGCCGAGGAAGCCCTGAGACCAGAAGAAAAGAGAGCAGAGTTAGCACTCCGTAGGGCACACATTTCTGACGCCTGGGCCATTAAGGCAGCTACAGCTACGTCCTTTTTTACTTGTTCCTCCCTCCGATGGCTCTCCCACCTGAGGGATATATTGCCGGCATCAAATGTCAGAGCTCACCAGGACATAGCTAAAATTATGGCAGCCGCAGAGTTCTCTGCCGATGCCACATTTAATGCAGTCAAATTCTCATCTAGGGCCATAGCATCTCACGTATCAGCATGGAGACTGCTATGGCTCAGACATTGGCAGGCGGATACCAAGCATAAATGCAAGTTGGCATCAGCCCCAATATCAGGGGATAAATTATTTGGCAGTGTCTTGGAGCCCCTCCTTATAGAAAATAGAAAGAAGAAAAAAGTGCTTCCCCCTCTTTTTCGTAGGCCTGAAAACAACGCCCCAGTTGTTTCGAAGGGGTTCCTTTCGGTCCTACTATCAGGGCCCTTACGTTCCCAGATCTCAGAGAACATCAGGCTACAGGCCCAGTTTTAGACAGGATAGGCCTGAATCTTCCAATAGAGGTCAGCGGGTAGGCCAAAATAGTAGAAACCCCAGAGGCACTAGAGGCCGATTTTTTCGTCGCCCCAAGTGAGCCCTTGACAGCAGTTCCCATTGGAGGGCAGTTAAAACTGTGTGCCGATCAATGGGACAGCTCCACCTCTGATGCGTGGGTCAAGGACACTATTAGGTTTGGCTTGGCGCTGGAGTTTCAATCCTCCCCCCCCCCGAACTTTTCCATTAGGAGCCCTAGGTCCCCGGACCCCATTAAGAGGGCGTTGATGCAGGAGGCTATCAATCATCTTCTACATATTCAGGCCATTAGAGAGGTTCCATCTGAACAGCGGGGTCAAGGCTGTTACTCTCTATTGTTCGTGGTCCCAAAGAGTTCGGGGGGCTGGAGGGCAATTCTGGACCTCAAGCGTTTGAACAAATCATTGGTTTATCGAAAATTCAAGATGACTACTCTCCAGTCCATTCTGCTTAGCATCAGAGAGGACGATATCATGACCTCAATAGATCTCACAGAGGCTTATCTACATATACCAATCAGACCTGCCCACTACATATATCTTAGATTTTGCTATTGTGATCGGCACTATGAATATATCACCCTGCCATTCAGTCTGGCTTCAGCCCCTAGGACTTTTACCAAGGTCCTCGTGGCGTTGGCTGCCTCGCTCAGGATCAAATCTGTCTGCTTACAATGTTATCTGGATGATATTTTAATTTTGTCATCTTCCAGACATCAAGCAAAATTGGATACCAAGTTTACTTTTCAGGGTCATGGCTTTTCCATAAATTGGGATAAAAGCCACTTGATCCCCTCAACTAGGCTAGTTCATTTGGGGGCAGTGATAGATACCGTGGAGGGCAAGGTCTTTCTCAGGACAGGTTAAACAGTATTCAGTCTTTGGCCAAAGAGATCAAGGCCTTAAAGAGGGTTTCCCTGGCATTGCTGTCTCAACTGTTAGAGAAACTGATTTCTTGTATTTCCATTGTGCCTTGGGCTTGATTCCATTCTAGACAGCTGCAATGGTTCCTGCTACCTTTCCAGCAATCCAGAAGAGCCACCTCCAATGTCCAGATAAAGGTACCGCACAACGTTCTCCGATCGCTCCGCTGGTGGTCAGAAAAAACGATAAACAGGGGATGCCCTTTCAAGGAAACTCACAGGGTAACGATCACAACCGATGCCAGCCTGGTAGGATGGGGAGCTCACTTCCAATCCCACACTGCACAAGGAATTTGGATTATTTCCGAACAATCACAAAGCATCAACCTGTTGGAACTGCGAGCAGTTCACCTGGCCTTACGCAATTTTCTACCCCTTTTCTATTCACGTCACGTTCTGGTCTTGACAGACAATACCACAACCAAGGCCCACGTAAACAGACAGGGGGGTACTCATTCCAAACTTCTGATGCTGGAGACGACTAAGTTGTTCAAATGGGCCGAGGCCAATCTGTCTTTGCTCAAGGCAGAACACATAGCAGGGCATTAAACACACAAGCAGACTGGCTCAGCAGGGCCACGATAGATCAGGCAGAGTGGCGCATACACCCATCTGTCATCCAGGAAGCAGTGCGGAGGTTTGGGCAACCGGTAATCGATCTATTTGCCTCTCCTCTCAATGCCCAATTGCCCCGCTATATCTCAAGATACCCGACTCAGGGGGCGGAGGCCGTCAATGCCCTGCGATGTCAGTGGCCTCTCGGGCTTCTATATGCGTTTCCTCCACTCCCAGTAATACCCAGGTCGATCCAGAAGTTATTGGAGGAACGAGCGGAATTGATATTGGTCGCCCCTTACTGGCCCAGGCGAACGTGGTTCGCAGATTTACAGGACCTGTCAAGAGAACAACCTTGGAAAATTCCACCGTTGAAGGTTTCCCTCTCCCAAGGGCCGATACTTCACCCGAACCCACAATGGCTCAGTCTAGCCGTATGGAGGTTGAGTGGAGCCGTTTAAGGGCCCAACAAATTTCAGAGGATGCTATTGCCACTATTCAAGCATCCAGACGGGCCTCAACAAATCATATATACGAGGCCACGTGGTCAGCCTTTTGTCGCTGGTGCCAGGGGTCTAAGATCGACCCAACTGTTCCATCAATAGGACAATTATTGGGCTTTTTACAGGAGGGGTTGACCAAGGGCCTATCTCCAAATACGTTACGTAGACAGGTGGCGGCTTTAGCCTCGGTGATAATCTGGGGTGACCTCCGTTCCATAGCACACCATCCACATGTCCGCAGTTTTC